TCTCTCTTCCTCTGACCCTCTCCCCCACTCACTCTCTAAAAATAAAATTTAAAAAAATTAAAAAAAAATAAAATTAAAATAAAAAGAAGAAGAAACCAACCAAAGCCTAGAGAAGTTCAGTAACTTGCAAATGATCACATAAGTCCTGAGTGGGGGAAATGGGAATTGAATGCCTAGTCTGCTCTATCCAGCTACAAAATCCTTGTTTTTGTCACCACCTCACATCTCCACACCACTTCTCTGGGCTCAGATAGTGGTCTACACTCCTCTTAACCTGACACCATATGTGGTCTCTTCATGCTGCCGCAAAGCCTTCAGAACCTTCCTCTTAAACGACCATACATTATTCCAATTATAGTTTACATACCATTCCCCTCCTGTGGAGCATTTACATTCCTTCCAAATCTTTTTGCCATTAAAAGAATTCTGACAGTTGCATTCTGCTACAAAGAATAGGAATTCCGAGGGCGGGGTGAGCCTTTCTTGGGTTTCTTTGGTATTACCAGGAATCTCATCAACGTGACTCTTCCAGCCCTCTTCCCACCCACCCTCTGAGCCCTGACTGCCTTAGTGAACCCCCTCACGTCAAGCTGTGGCCCAAGGAGAGTGTTCCAGGTGGAGCAGAGGAGGGGAGAAAAACAATCCCCTTGAAACTCGCACCCATTTGGCCCAGATGAGTTCATCACCTTTTATCAGTGTTATGCAGACCTCATTAATCTTAAATCGCTTTGACGGCTGGAAAAATGAAGACTGTGTCAGGATTCTTGTTGATTTTGAAAAGATTATACACATCCTGTTATTTCAAAAGGGCCAGGTGAAAGATTTTTAAATCCTGTTAAGAATTTTAGCCTATATCCTGAGAGAGTAGGTAGACATTAAATGGTTTTAAATAAAGGAGTGATGACCTAATCTGATTTTTTTTTTTTTTTTTTTTAACTAGAAAGAACACCCTGGTTTGGAGGATAATGACAGGATTTAGTGATTGAGAGGACAGAGGGTGGAGGCTAAGGGAGGACTCCAGCAAGACCCTAGGATTCTGCCCAGGACAGCTGGGTGGGTAGGATGAGAAGCAGTAAGGGAATAACAACACGGTAGTCCCCTTTGGGACCAGGTGAGCTAGGGGCGCCTGAGGGCAGCGCCTGGGACAAGCCTACTTCCGCAGGGACCAGGGACACAGGCCTGGGAGAGAGGGCCCCCTAGGCCAGGAGTGAGAGGGATGTGGAGGGCCACCGGCAGGCCCTGCTGGAGAACTGCGGACCCTGGCGAAGGCCCTGAGGCCTCAGCAACCCATGAGGCTGCTAACCCTTTCCTTCCCAGGAACGGAGTCCTGAACTACTCCATCTTAAGGGGCTGTTTGAGCCCGTCACCGTGTCCCCGGAGGTTTTCAGGTCAAAGATTCCCACTGATTTTATACTTAGGAGAAAGCACTACCCCCCAGGAAGTAGCCCCAGGAAGAAAATCCCCTTGTTTCTGACCTCCCAAAGATCTGCAGCCAGCCAGACACAAATGCCAAGGTGACCTGCACAGGCTTGGATCCGTGCTTTAAGAGGAGCAAAGACGGGCTGCTGGGGAGAAGCAGTTTCACCCCACCTGGGCATCTGGGAGTGTGAAGACGGGATGGTTTTCCTCTGAGCCGTAAAAGAACAGGTTGACTTCCTCAGGTGAGTAGGAGGGGATAGAACGCTCTAGGAAGAGGGACCGGCCGTGCAAAGATCCAAAGAGGGGGAAATACAGGACAGGCTGGAGCTGACGGAGCTTTGCATGACTCTTCTTAGATGCAAGGGGATGAAACTGTTTCTACTACTCAGACTCACAAGTCTGTGACGTTCTGGGGCAACAATCTAACCATGGCCCCGAAAGCTTCTTCGTCATTAGTGGCTGAGACAGAAATTTCCTGTGACGTCATCTGGGAAAATTGCTAGGAAGCTCAGTCCCTAACTTGCCCTGGCCTGACCTCTAAAAAGCAACTTTCCAGAGCCTGTGGATGTGCATTTTTTGAACTAGCCTCATCTTTCCCTGCCTCTTCCTTTCCTACCTGTATTTTTCCTTTTGCCTTCTTTCTATTTAAACCTCTAGAGAAAGAGATAAGCTATGTAAAAATAAGCCTATAAAACACTCAACCTACCATCTTTCAAAAGAAAGCCAGTGTCCACCAAATCTACAGAGGGGTCAGTGGTGCGGCGGGTCTCATGGGTGGAGCTAGATGGAGGCCAGGTAGCTAGATGGAGGTCCAGGGAGGAAGTACAGGAAAGAGCAGGCCAGGGCAGAGGACTCTGGGGACAGCAACTGAAAGCACAGAAAATTCTGGGGGGACCCCGGAAGGTTATTAGTCCAGCTACATACTTAGAGTCAGCTTCAACTGAGGCAGGTCAGGCAAACCCAGGTCATTTTGTCCCAAATGTCATATTCAAGAGTTAAGAGAAGAGGGGTGCCTGGGTGGCTCAGTCAGTTGGTTAAGCATCTGACTTTGGCTCAGGTCATGATCTTAACAGTTTCGAGCCCCGCTTCTCTCTTTCTCCCTCTCTCTGCCCCTCGCTCACTTGTGCCCCCTCTCTCTAAGGAAGAAGAAAAAAAAGATTGAAGAGAGGGGATTTTCAGGCTTCATATTTTCTACCCCCGCCCCCCCCCCACCACCAATGAGGTTCCCTTTTGTGTGGGGTACCCTGGGAGATGTGAAGGGCCCAGGGATGTGGAAATCGGGTGGGGAGATTATGACAAGCACTCTTGAACAACTTCAGATTTGCTGCAGTTTGGCGGGGACAGCAGTGGTAGGTTGGGCTCTGAGCTGCTTTGCCATGGGTGTGGGAGCCAAGAGGAGGAAGAGACACCATACCCCTAGGAGTCTTTAATTAACTTGGCCATTTTTGCTGAGAACTTACAGGTGGAATTCTTCTCCGTGGAGCTGTGTTTGGCAGCAGGCTCAATATATAACATGTAATCGTTACATAAATCTATAGTTGTTTACAAATACACGACATGGTATTTGCTCCTCCAGGGCCAAGACCCACAGATGCCGGTAAGGAGATTTGCCAGCAACAAGGGAGAAAGCCCCAGGCAGCCTCACAAAAGTTTTCCAGTTTCTATCCTTCCAGCATTCCTCAGGGAGGGCCTCTTAGCTCATGGACCGGTCCCCCGGGGCCGGTGGGGAGGGACTATTGGGGCAGCAGATGGCAGAATCATACCATCTAGGACTAAGTCCGTGCAGAAGGTTGGGTCATCGTCATCGAATGCTTTCTTCCTCTGTGTAATCATTTGACAGGAGGCTAATCAGGGCTCACCTGAGGAGACCCCTAGCTCAACCTTCAAACCCCGGACGGGGGAGTCCTAGGCCGGAAAGTCCTGCTCTGCTTGCGCTGAGTGGGAGAGGGACTCCCCAGCTCAAAAGACTGAGTGGGACAGCAGGTAGCAGGACAGCAGATGTGCTCGGTCTGTCACTAGGCAGACAGGGTACTTTGTTATGGCTATTTTGATCCAGACATCTTGAGGGCACAGAGAGTTTAGCATGAATAAAAACTATATGATCAGGGGCGCCTGGATGGCTCAGTCAGTTAAGCATTCAATTCTCGATTTCGGCTCAGGTCATGATCCCAGGGTCGTGAGATCAAGCCTGCTGTTGGGCTCCACACTGAGCATGCTTGGGATTCTCATTCTCTCTCTCTCTCTCTCTCCCTCTCATTCTCTCTCTCTCTCTCTCTCTTTCTCTCTCTTTCTCTCTCTCCCCAGCTCATGCTTGTGCTAATGCTCTCGCAAAATAAATAAATAAACATTTTTTTCAAAAACCTACATAATCATATTTGAGAGAAGATGCCAAAATACTAAGTGATTTCATACATAGTAACTGCAAACATGAAGCATGAAACTTTATTTTTAACAGCCAACAAATGTTCAGTGATTGTCTACTCTGGGGATGGCACTCCATAGGCATAGCACCGAAGACCCAGTAATGAAGAAGAAGCAGGGTCAAAGAGGACAGATAAAAGGAACAGTCAGCAAACACCCCCATATAACTCTAATTCATGGTACATGCCTTAGCAATAACATGAGCACTCTTTTTTTTAATGTTTATTTATTTATGACAGAGAGAGACAGAGAGAGACAGAGCACAAGTAGGGGAGGGGCAGAGAGAGAAGGAGACAGAATCGGAAGCAGGCTCCAGACTCCGAGGTGTCAGCACAGAGCCCAACGTGGGGTTTGAACTCACAAACTGTGATCATGACCTGAGCCGAAGTCAGTTGCTTAACCGACTGAAACACCCAGGCTTCCCAACGCCAACACTCTTAGTAACAACAATACCTAACATTCATTGGGCTGACAATTCCAGGCACTGAGCTGAGTGGTCTTCAATTTGTCCCATCATACAGTCCTCACACAACTCCACAGGCAGGTGTATTTATCAGCCCCTTTACAGATGAAAACACCTAAGGTGCAGAGGAGTTAAGAGACTTGCTAGGTAGGAAGAGGCGGAGCTGCTACTTGAACCCAGGTCTGACTCCAGAAAGTAGGCCCTTGACCCTGAAGTAAAGAGCAGGAAGAGGAAGTAAAGATCTTGCCTTCAGCACAGGGTGGGGGGGGGGGGGGGACCACTCTGCACTCCCCGTACCCTCACCCTTTCCTTGCCCTTTTTAGCCCAAGTAGGAATGACAATTCCATTGACCTACTGGCCTGGTAACCAGGGCCAGACAATTTCACATCTACTTGTTGGGTCATGAAATAGGATCAGGAACGGAGTTAGGGTCAGAAATAGGATGATCGTGCCTTGCGAACATAATTATATCCCTTGCACTCTGTGATCAAAATGAGTCAGAAGGTTTTGCTTAATGTCAGAGTCACTTGACTGGCTCTCAAAGAGGTCACCCAGGGTAGTTTTACCTTGATGAATTTTCCACAGAGCTGAACCTGCTTCACAGCCAAGTCGGTGCTCTGAGGTTCAGCTGCCTGGAGAAGCCTGACTCCCAGTAATCCAACACATAGGAGGCTGAAGTATATAACCAGATACTCACGTATTCATTAACAGTTGGTATTAGTCCTTCAATAGCTGGAATGCTCCTCCCTCAACTGGAGCACCCTTTTCTCAATATCAGCAATCAGAAAGCCAAATCACCCATCAGCTGGCTGGTTACTGAGTATACCCCAAGAGTTGGCCTAGGCAGATTTCTTTCAAATCAGGGTGGGGCTTAGTGAGTCATCTTTATTTCACAGCAGGGCACATCTGTATGAGCTCCAGTTTCATTTGCTCTTTCCTGGACAGTGGTGGATAATAAGTGTCAGCTCTGGCCTCTGGGCTTTACCCTACTTCTTTTTGCTTTCTCTTCTCCAGCCTTCTCTCTCATTCTTGTTTCATGCTTTCTCCATACAGTACAACTGATTAGGTTGCTGACCATTCAATTGTATCACATTCCAGCCCTGCTCTCCTGAGATTACATGAGGAAGATGACCTGATGGGTGGGTTGGTTGATCCAAACTCTTCATTTCTTTATGGACTTTTTGTGTATATTCTCAGATATATTAGGTTGAACCATATGAGATTGCTATTTGGGTAGGTCAAAAACAAAGAGCAACAACTTTATGTGGTATAACTAACAACAGACCAGATTTATTAGGGGTGGGCTTACTGAGTCCAACTCCTTTTTGCAAGCCTTGATGGTAAGTGTGTGTGTATATGGAGTGTCATACATGGCAGGCTTTTATGTCTCTCTGGAAACAGGCATCTCTGGCTAGCCATTAGCATCTGGGACTTCATTCCTCTTGCTGTCCATTCACCCTCTGACAAGGGCCTTAATGTCAAGGATGAGCCAAGGAGGGACTTGAGGTTGAGGGAGAAAGTCAAACTCTTTGTTATATGTGACAGAGTATGTGTTCTGAAGCCAACAGAGAACAAAAGGAACACTTTTAGATAGTTCATATTTTGTTTATTCCCCTATTCATGTGAAAAAATTAGGGACTACTGGAGACCTGTGTGAAATAGGCTCATGCCCGACACCATTTCTACCTTCCAAGGTTTTCACTGGCTATAGTTGTATGTACATATACCTGTGTGTCTGTTTCTGGTAGCTGATTACCATATGGTAAGCTCTGTGAGGGTAGGGCTTATCTCTGACTTACTGGTCTTTAATTCCTATCATAGGGCCCGGCATACAGTAGGTGCTCATTAAAAAAAATGTTTTATATAAATTAATGAGCGAGTGAATGAATGAATGAATGAGGTTAAACAACAAACAAATCATGGAAATACCAAGAAGGCATCAAATACCATACCAAACAAAAGTTCTCTGGACCTTTAAAGGTCAGGAACCAGGCTGCCTGTGGAAGTCAGCAAGGCTCCCCAGGGAAAGTAACCTGAAAACATTTGCTCCCCAACTGGAAAAGGTTGGTGGACCAGCTCAGGCGGTAGCACAGTCTGCCTCACAGATGTGAGAGAGGAAGCCACAAATGAAAAGAAGCCACAAATGAAAAGTTGTTCCCTATTTCCTGGCAAGCTCTTTGGTCAGCATGAGCCACATTCCTTTGAGCTGAGCATGTGTGGAATTTCCAGTCTAGGTAGCAGAATGGAACTTGGAACAAATAGCTCAGCAAAAAAGAACCCGGGGACAATGGGACCAGACCCAGCTGCCCTTTGCCAACTCTTGAGCTCACAGAATATTGGCTCAGTGGGCCTTGTTGAGGGAGATAAATGATGTCTTTTGGGCTGTACCACTTCAGAGGACTCAGAGAGACATTTCCATGTTCAGACAGCACTAAAATCCTTAGAAGATATGCTAAATATCTAGGAATGGTCTGAGTCCTCACCATGTTCAACTTTCCATCTAGCAAGGACAAATTAAGGTCTGTTTTGCTTTACAGATGGGGAAGGTCTAAATACTGGAAGGTAGAGGAGAAGAAACCTTCATCAAGAGAAAGCTGGAGGATACTTCAAGGTGAGGACAGGTGATGATGAGGGGGTGATGGCAGGATTCAGGGCCCTATGTGATCAATCTGGAGGAAGGAGTCAGGGGAAATTTAAGAGGAACTGGTGGGAATATATGCTGTCAGTTTCAGGGCAGAGGATTCAAATAGGAAGGGATCAGCTTCTTGGAGGAGACAGTAACTGCAGACAATAACACAAACACAAAGATACTGGTCTCTCTACTGGCCTGACCTGAATTTCTTACATATGATCGTGTTCTAGGAGCATGTCATGAATCACACTGAAAAAGGTAGTGGGGATTTCTGCTGTGTCAACCCTCAACTGAGGTTCCTTCTCTCATTTTCCCAAGTCATTAATTCCTTCAAGACACTGATATATTGATGGAGACCTAAGAAAGGAGAGACTGAACTCCAGTTACTCATATCTCGATCTTCTTGATTATAATGGAGTTGAAGGCAGGAATGACGAATTACTCAACCTAGAATTAGCTACGTAACCTTAAATATAGCTAAATAGGTGCTTCATAGATGAGGAAAAAAAGAACGAAAGGAAGGAAGGGAAGAAGGGAAAGGAAGAAAAATGTTACAAAGATGTTAAGGGAGATGGAGTGGGAGCAGTACTTAACTTGGCCTGCATCACAGGAAGATAGGTAGTGTCACAGAAGGAAGTTACCTAGGGCCCATTTTGAGGGTGGGGCAGTTAATGTTTGGGGAATAATATGTAAGCTTGCTGTTGATCAAGGCTAGGTACCTGATTTACTTTGTTGACATATTTTGGACTTAGTTCTTTTAACAAGTAGTGGAGGGAGAGAAGACACCTTTAAATGGCGAAACTATAAAGGAAAAGACAAAGATGCAGCTCCATTTACTGGCTGTGCTGTATCTACCCCATGAAGCTACTAACATAGTCTGAGTCATTTCCTCAGTGGCTGTTCGCTCCTCTGTCCTTAGAAGGAGGAAGTGGAAAGTCTAGTACATTACGGTACCTTTTTCTTTTTCTAAAATTTTTTAAAAAGTTTATTTATTTTGAGAGAGTGAGAGTGGGGGAGGGGTGAGAGAGAGAGACAGAGAGAGACAGAGACAGAGAGAGAATCTTAAGCAGGCTCCACACGCAGTGCAGAACCCAACGCAGGGCTCGATCTCATGACCATGAGATCATGACCTGAGCCAAAATCAAGAGTGGGTGGCTCCACCAACTGAGCCATCCAGGCACCCCTAGGCCACCTTTTTCATATGAAAGGATTCCTGGAACACCTGGGTAGCTCAGTAAGTTAAGCCTTGGACTTTTGATTTCAGCCCAGGTCATGATCTCTGGGGTCAAGTCCCGAAACAGGCTCTGAGCTGAGCTTGGAGCCTGCTTAAAATGCTCTCTCTCCCGGGGCGCCTGGGTGTCTCCATCCAACTTTGGCTCAGGTCATGATCTCACGGTTTGTGAGTTTGAGCCCCGCATTGGGCTCTGTGCAGCCTGCTTCGGATTCTGTGCCTCCCTCTCTCTCTGTTCCTCCTTCACTCGCACTCTCTCTCAAAAATAAAGATTTTTAAAAATTAAAAAAAAAAAAAGATTCTCTCCCTCTCTCTGCCCATCCCCTGTTCACATTCTCTCTCTCTCTCTCTCTCTCTGAATAAACTTAAAAAAAAGAAAAAGAAAAAAAGGATTCCTTTCATTCTCAAGGCCCACAAAGTACTTAACGTAAGACCAGGTTTGACATGGGTGTTTTATCCGCACCCTATGACACATCATTCTCCTCCTTTTATCAGATATAAAGGCTAAGGATAAATTGCAGCCATCATCTAGACTCAAGTCAGGGCAGGGGGCACTATTTAAATGTATTAAAAAGTCACATATTTCGCATCCAATGCCTGTTAATGCTGGGAAGGGAACAGGTCCTCTTTTCCCACATAGCTAATACCCCCATTTCACAGATCAGAAGCTTGAGGATCAGATTTCCTTAGTTCGATCTTGATGGACGTATCTAGCAGCGGATGGAGTCCAGACAAAAGTCAATCCGTGTCTATCTACCTACTGACTTATTAAAGATCTTTTCTTACAGAACCTAAACGTCAAGCCCACTATTTTCCTAATAATTATCTCATCACATGAAAATTTAAACTCGTCAGACCAGAAAGAGTGGAAGTATAAAGTAGAGCGGTGGGAGAGGTACCATCTCTCCCACCACTAGTTTAACACAGTACATTTCCGTTTCGCTAAAAGTTCAAGCCACAAGGCCACAGTTCACTAAGGGCGAGCAGACACATGCGTGCACCCTACGCATGCGCTCAGCTGGGACCCACCCGCCCCTTTCACCGGACCTCTTCAGCCAAGTCACCAATTAGCCCTCTAAATGCCCGCCCCCAAGGCTAAACCCTCGGCCAATCGGAAGAAAGGAGCCATCAGGCACATCACTTATGTAGCATACACCCTTCTCTCCCCTTCCCAAGGCCCCGCCCCGTCTGAGGCAGGGATTGTCGCCTAAGTGCTTCGTTCTGGCACCTGATTGGCTCCTTTCCCAGCTCCGCCTCTGTCTCCTCCCACAGCCCTCCCCACCGCAGACCCACAGCGGCGGGCGGAGCTAAGTACGCAGGCGCGGGCACTGCCTCTCTTTTTTAGTGGCCCGCCCTCCCTCCTCCTCCTCCCTCCCCTCCCCACCCCCTCTCCCTTCCTCTCCCGGCCTGCGCGCGCGTGTCTTCCTCCAGCACGCGCCGCCGCAAGCCAGGCACTCTCGCCGGAGCCTCTGGCCCGCGCATTCCTTTTCCCCTCCGGCTGCGGAGCCGACGGGATTCTGCACCGTCGTCGCGGCAGCAGCTGCAGCCCCGGCAGCCTCGAGGGGCGGGAGCAGCGCGCGATCCCCCCAGGCGGACCGTACCACCGCCTGCCAGCTCGCGGGGGGAACCGCCCGCCCCGCCACACACGCCTCGGCGACCCCGCCGGGCTGAGGCGTCGCCGCGCCCGGGAGCGTGAGCGCAGAGCCGGCCTCGACCCCGAGCTCGGAGTCCCGCGGGCCGCGCCCGCCGCTGGCCCCACCCATCCGGGCAGTGGAGGCTGCGGCCATGGCCGAGACGGAGGAGCGAAGCCTAGATAACTTCTTCGCCAAGAGGGATAAGAAGA